TATGTGTTTTGTATGCATAGTTGATCTTCTCTACTAGACCCCATGTTTCTTGAGGGCAAATATCATCTTACACATCTTTGTATCCTTTGGAGTCTCCCCCCCACATGCATAACAGGTGCTCAAATAATACTCATGGAATACGGCTTCCACATAAAGATGCCGGTTAGATGAGTGAAGTCTTGTTTGTGAAGCTATTGGGAGTTCTCAGATTTAAAAATAATACATTTTCATCACTAATTAAAAACTCCTTATTAGAATTTTCCCAATTAATACAAAGCTTGAACTCAATGTAGGTAACATAGGATTCTTATGTATCCCTTATAACTGTATATATATCCAGTCTTATGTAAATGGTATATTATGTAAATATTATAATTCAATAGTCAGCTGTTTCTGCACTATAACATGTAAGCGCTCACATCCTGTGTGTATCTTATGCAAGGGAAAGTATCTTCTCACTACGTGGTGTCCAGCTTTTCACTCTTCTTAATGCTGTGTGGTAGTGATATAACCCAGACTACAGCTGAACGGAAGAGATACCCTGGCCATGAGCACCCAGCCTTGGGTAAGCAGGCTCAGGTTTCCCCATCAGAATCAGCCTATAAAAACCATCCTTCCGGGCTTCCCTGGTGGCGCAGTGGTTGAGAGTCCGCCTGCCGATGCAAGGGACGCGGGTTCGTGCCCCGGTCTGGGAAGATCCCACATGCCGCGGAGCGGCTGGGCCCGTGAGCCATGGCCGCTGAGCCTGCGCATCCGGAGCCTGCGCATCCGGAGGCTGTGCGCCGCAACGGGAGGGGCCACAACAACCAGAAAAAAAAAAAAAAAAAAACCATCCTTCCTAGGAGGACAGATTTGCCCATAAGCGGGGGAAGTGGGGGTGGTCCAGTGGGTAAGACTCCGCGCTCCCAATGCAGGGGGCCCCGGTTCTATCCCTGGTCGGGGAACTAGATCCTGCCTGAATGTCACAACTAAGAAGTCCGCATGCCACAACTAAGACATGGTGCAGCCTAAATAAATAAATTAAATAGAGGATGAGACTCCAAAAGTTAAGAAAAGTTCTCACAGTGGCTAAGGGATGTTTTTGAAAATATCAGAACGGATGGCTGGGACTGGGATAGCGCTTATTACGGGCAGGCTAAAAACTTACTCCATTTAACCATCAAAAACCTGAGGTGGTTCTATCATTACCCCCAGTTTTGCAAATGAGGAAACTGAGGCTCAAGAGATGTAATCACTTTGCCCAAAGTCACATACCCAAGTGTCTCTGACTCTAGATCTTGAGCTGAGATTCTTGCTCAAACCATCCAGTTCCCTTTTTTTCTTTTTGCACTTGGTGTGCATTGAGGGACAACGACCCCATATCCCCTAGAAGAGACCTTAGGGATCATCTGCTTCAACCTCCTTACTTTACAGACAGGAAACGTGGGCTCAGAGAGATAAAGGGACATGTCCCTTAGGTCACACAGAGCCAGGGGCTTTTCTGCAACGGAATCGCCAGGTGCACAAGAGTACCAGTCCAAACTCCATTTTACAGAGGGGGAGGTGAAGCCCAGAGCGCTGAGCGCAGGTCCCGGGTCCACCACAGGCAGAGCCGTATCCAACCCTGGGAGCGCTCGTTATCCTGCCCGGCGCTACCAGCACCTTCACCTGGGGCGCCAACAATCAACTCACCGGCCAGCGCCTCGGGAGTACTTGTCGGCGGCGCGCAGGCCCTCGGCCGGGAGTGACAAAGCGCTGACGTGGAACGAGCGGGGCCGCGCAGGCCAGAGCCGGACATGGCCTCGCTAACCCGGGCCTCCCCTGGCCCCTTCGCCTCAGAAGGCCGAGGCCCCAGGAGGGCGCGGACGCCCGGACGCCGAGCAGAATTCGGAAGCGCTGGCCCCGGAGGGAGGCAGGGTCGCCTGGCCTCCTCTCCTCAGGCTCCTACTTTGCCCCCTCAACAGTCTGTAGACCCTCCGTAGGGTCTAGCCACCTGGACCGAGGAGGGCTAGGTTGCCCTGGAAACGGAAAAAACTATTTGCGCCTGCGCGGACGCGCTAGGCACAATGGGAAATGTGGTTTCCGGGCTGTCATCTGGTGGCCAGAGGAACGGACGCAAGATGGCGCTCCAGCGTCGCGGTCCGTTCAGAGACGCAGGGTTACCCGGCCGCCCTGGGCCGTTTTTGGGCGCTGCCGGCGTAGGAGAGGCCGCCGGGGCCTGAAAGGTAGTTTCTCTTGAGGGGACGCCCTGGCTCGTGACTCGTCCCAGGCCGGGTCGAGCCGGCCCCGACGGAGGGAGAACGTTGTGGAGGTGGGAGCTGGCCCAGGAGGGACCGGCTGCCCGAGGGACCCGAGCTCCTTGTCGCACAAGTGTTCTAGTCGGGCCGGCCCCTAAGAGGCTCCTATATAGGGTGGGAGTTAAATTGGGACCCCGTGAGCAGGGCCTGTCCTGACCATCCCTCCGGCTTCCCTGCCCAGTGCGTTGACTGACCTGGAACCACCTTCTCCATTCCTGAGTTAGGCCTCTGGACTGAGATCTAGAAACCTAATTCAGGGTCTGTCGGAGACCCAGTTACTTCTCTGAGCCTCAGTTTCCTTATTTCTAAAACGGTAGTAATTGTAATGGCTCCCCTTTCTTCTCTGAGAGTGTTGCAAGGTTCATATGAGGTGACTGATGTGCAGGTTGGACAGTCCTATAAGAACATAAACAGGCATTCCCATTCGTTGTAAATTAGTGCAACTTCTTACAAGGAAATTAGGCAGTGCCCTTCAGAATTAAAAACGAAGAATGAATTTGCTTCGGCAATTCTAGAAATATGTCCTACGGAATTAGTGGCCATGTGTGCACAAGAAAGTATATACAAGGGTACTTAAGCATTACTTGAAATGGAAAAAAAAAACAACCCCAGAACAATATAAATGTCCATCAGTAGATGACCACTTAAATCATGATGGGTTCCATAAAAGAGAATATGTGCTTATTTTAAAAATTAGGCAGAGCTTTCTGTACTGGTGTACAGCTCTTTTGTGATATGAAAAAGATTTTCAAAATGCAGAATAGTACGTTACTATGCTTTAACTTATACTTAAAAAAGAATACACAAATGTATTTGATGACTTAAGCATGGAATGTCTTTGGAGAGCCTTAGAAGAAACTGGTAACAATGGTTGCCTGTGAAAGATTGGAGGACAAGATCGGAGGGAGACACTCTTTTCATTTTATATCTTTTTTTTTTAAACTGTGTTTTTTGCCCCTTTAGCAATTTGTATGACCTTTGTCTATACATACAGTTCTTTTTCTTTTCTTTTCTTTTTTGGCCATGCCACGCCTTGAGGGACCTCAGTTCCCCAACCAGGGATTGAACCCTTGGCCACAGCAGTGAAAGCCCGGAATCCTAACCACTAGGCCACCAGGGAACTCCCAGTGTACATATAGTTCTTAATCATTTGTCTGTATTTTTTTTTTTTTGCGGTACGCGGGCCTCTCACTGCTGTGGCCTCTCGCATTGCTGAGCACAGGCTCCGGACGCACAGGCTCAGCGGCCATGGCTCACGGGCCCAGCCGCTCCGCGGCATGTGGGATCTTCCCGGACCGGGGCACGAACCCGTGTCCCCTGCATCGGCAGGCGGACTCTCAACCACTGCGCCACCAGGGAAGCCCCTTGTCTGTATTTTTGATGCAGATAATTTCCCCTCCAATTTTTGTTTTTCCTCGTGCTGAATTCTTCTCAGAATCCTCCATAGATTCTAGTGGGCCCCACAGCTCTGAGTTCATGATTGGATCCTGCCTTCCCAGCTGCACGGACTGCAGGAGGGCAGGGCCCGACCTTGGCTTCCCTCCTGACAGTCACCCCCACTGTCCCCGAGCCCCGGCCCAGAACTGCTGAAAGGGCAGTCTGGGTGGGACTCATGGGTGGCTGTAGATGGCAGGCAGCCCTCTCCCTGCTCAGCAGGGTGGACCAGCCAAATGGATCAAGAATCACATCTGGCTTCTCTGTACCCCACCTTGTGACCCTGGGCCTGCTACCCACAGACAGGTACAAATGATTCCTCTTCTAGAGAACATGTTGAGGCTGAATTCTGTCAGTGTACAGAGGACACGTATTGTTAAAATATCAAAGCAGGAGGTGGGGTCTAGGGATTTCCTAGTTTAATCCTTTTGTCTTACAGAAAGAAACAGAGACTTAAGATGAAGTAACTTGTAAGTGATACAGCTGGGGCTAGAACCCAAGTGTCCTGCTCCTCCGTCCACTAGGGTTAGAGCAGTGCTGGGGGTCCCACCAGGGTCTGGGTGAGAGATTCATTCCTAAAACTGGGCGTGAGATCTCAATCAACAAGAACATTTGCTGCCAGCTCCTATCTGAGGCCTGCTTCGAGGGAAGGAGCTGCACTCACCCACTCCCAACCCCCAACCAAACTAGAGTGTTACAGGGCAGAGCATATGATCTTGGGAAGAGGGGAGAGAAGTGACAAAGATGGACCCACTTACTCTTCTTGAACATTGTAACTGAGCAGAAGGAACCCCTAGGCAGAGGGGAGGGCCCACCGAGGGTCCTTCTTCCCTGGCAGTGATAGGCTGGCTTGGAAAGTCAGGCTCTCTTGCATTGCAGCAAGAAGAAGATTCTTGGGACCCAAAGTGTGCTCAAGAACTAGCATCAAGTGCCCAAAAGGAGAGTTAGCTTCTGGGACGGGCTTGGTCCTGTCCACATAGGCATCGACAGCTTCCATTTCCTCATGGGTAACTCCCTTCCGCTGCCCCGACAGAGCCCAGCACCTGCTGTCCAGTGTAGACTTGTTCCCCTGCCGACCTGCCTGAGGGGGGCGGGGCAGCTAGCATTTACCCAGGCCCTGCCCCGGGAGATGAGGGAGATAGCGCCCACCTCCCCTCTTCTCTTCCCCATTCTTCCTCCCACCCCACCCCAAACACACCACTCCCCATTCGGGCCTGTCGCAAGATACCTGGGAACTATGAAGAGGCTGGAAGGGGTAAGGAGAGGCCACACTCCTTGTGCAACCAGAGAAAGAGTGGACCGACAAGCTTTATCATAAAATTGAAAACAATATGAAAATGTTTTTTCTTTCTAAGTACAAAGCCAGACACTATTAAGACTATGAAAAACTGGCCAGAGGCCATGAAGCTCAGAAAGAAGACTCTTTGGCGTAGTGCCCTGTGCTCCAGTGCAGTGCAGGTGAAGGGTGCTGGGGGCAGCAGCAGAAGACTCAGGCTGCTTATGGGGGGTGTGAGGGAGGCTGACTGGCCAGCCCCGTCAGAGGGCTCTGGCTCCCCACTCCTCAGAAACTCCCACGTCTGGGGACTGAGGTTACTCTCGGCCTTTGGGGGCCACTGGTTCTCTGCAGAGCCCCAGGAGTGAAATGGGGTCGGGGGGATGAGGCAGACAGGAGTAGGGGAGGGAGGGAGCATTAGCCTTTCTGCACTGAGAAACTCTGTTTTTTATTCCATGGCTGCAAGTGTGTGTTTCAGGCAGCAGGTGAGAATGAAGCTAGGGTACTGTTGCCCCCAAAGGCACCTTCAGTCTCTCTACGACATCCCCAAATGTGGAGGAAATCTTAAGCCCTTGGACGGGTGGACATGGGTCTGAGACTTAAGGCTGTAGGTGCTGAGGCTGTAGTGACGGGAGTCTGGGGCCTCCTGGGGAGGAGCTAAGAGGAACGTGGACAGGCCGACAGGAGTGAGGGGTGCTCATCCCAGGAGCTGTGTCCTGGCGCCTCTGTTTGTGTCTAGGGGGGCATGGGAATGTGTGTGGGCTCACACCTCGCCCTCCTCGCCACTGTCATCCACGCTGGGCTGCCTCACCACCTTCTGGTGCCTGGGTGTGGACAGACAGCCAGCCTTCCACTGCTCCTGGAAGGCCCGGGTCCGGCTGGCCACCAGGGCGGCGCTGTTGAGGGCAACCACAGACTGGCGGGACCTCAGGGCAGGCCAAGGCCCCTTGCGGGCCTGCTGGCCTCCCTTGGCGCTTGAGAGCTGAGGGAAGGGCTGTGGAGGGTCTTCATCTGAAAACTCCTTTGGAGAGAAAACCTGGAAGGATGAGAGTATAAAGAAGAGTCACGGGGAAGTCGTTCCAAGGCAGGGGCACGGAGCACAGAGCCTAGAAAAGGGTAGATGCAGAGCACCTGTTGAGTGAATACAGAAAAAGCTACTACAGGTACTCACAGGTCAGATTTCCCTAGAAGGGAAGGCAGCGCCCCAGCCCTACTGCCACCGCTCCTCAGCCCTCACCTGTCTGGCCCCCAGAAGCCCTCCTTAGCTCCCCTGCGCCCGCCGCGTCCTTGGGGTCCTCTCCTCCTCCTCTTGCCCCCCACTGCTTTGTACAGTCAGTCCCATGAGCCACAAGGGAAACATCTTCCAGGTGCCGGGCCCTGGGCTGGGTGCTGAGTGAGGACACCCTGCCTTTAGGAACACACACACCCACCCATCAACCATCTGTTCCTCCCTCCAGCCTTCCACACCCAGTGCCACCTCCTCCAGGAAGCCTTTCCCAAATGTTCCTGTCCTCTGTGAGGTGAGCTCTCCTTCCTCCGGGTCAGCTACCTTGGACTCAAGTCACATGGGGGGCCTGATTTCCTAAGGCAAGGGCCAGGTCTCACACTTGTGCCCTGCAGCACTTAGCACAGAGAGCCTGCTTAGCTACTCAGCCAGCACTTCGGTTGTGTGAGTGCTATGACCCCTCTGCACGCCATCCTTCGATGGGTTGCCCTTCCGATTGGGGAGGGGGTGCTGAGATCATCTTATCTACACCCATCTGGGGTCAACAGTTGGTTGTGCAGCTCCTGGCCTGGGGAGGATGCCCCTTCCAAGGCTGGGCAGCCCTGCCGCTTAGGTAGCAAGTCCTTTCGTCAGGCTGAGAGCTGCCTGCAGCCACCAGCCTAGGGCTGGTTTGGCCGTGGAGCCCACCAGATGGCCCTGTCCCGTGACTGCTCTCCAGCTCCCGTGGAAGGCAGCGCTCGCCTGTCCTCATCGGTTCTCCTCAGCTACTCTGAGGGGATGAAAAGGAGCTGCCCAGGGTGTGGTCCCCCTGCTCAGGTGCCCCCCGCTCAGGGCCAAGCCGAGCCCCAGTCCTGGACTTTCTCCATCCTCCAGCCACCTGCCCCCTCCTCATTTTGGCCCCCACTCTGCCTCAACCTGGGCTGCTTCCTTAGCCCCAGCCTCACCTCTGGCAGGTCACCGTCCCCTGAGGTGCTTTCCAGCTCTGAGGATGGCTCCAGGAGGCTGATGGACCTCATAACCCCGCGGAGGTTGATACGGGGCCGTGACCCAGGCTCTTCTTTTGGGGCTGCCTGGCTCTCCTCCAACCCCACCACATTCAGCTCCCCACTGCCCCCGGGTTCTGGCTGAAGAGGTGGGAACGGTGTAGAGACCTCGGGGGCCAGGGGCTCCTCTGGGGAGGCCCCACCCACTTTCTGCTCCCAGACATGGCTCTGCCGGCTGCGAGGGGGTGGCCCTGAGTCAGCTTCCAGTGACCCAGCCGCAACCTCCAGCACCCACCACCACCCACCCCCTTCCCCTTGTCCCCCACTCCGTACCTAGCGGTCAGGATGCCCTGGTAGGTCTGCAGCTGGCGCAGGAAGCCCGGGTTGGGGCGGGCGATGGGCCGCAGCTCCTGCACATGGCGCAGAGCCTGCTCCAGGCTCCAGCCGTACTGCTTCATGGCGTAGGCGATCACTGTGGCGGCCGAGCGGCTGACGCCCATCTTGCAGTGGACCAGCACCCGGGTGCCCTGCGCTCTGTGGAGGCCGAACCGGGTCAGCTTCCCCTCCCCCTCCCCCGCCCCCTTGCCATGCCGTCAGTGTCGGGGAAAGGCAGGTAGGTAGGTGGTGGGCTCACCTCCCAGAGCAGAGGGGAAAGGATGTTAAGGACCCTGAGGGCCCGAAAAGCTGAGGGCAGAGCAGGCAGGAGGAGGGCATGGGCCCTGGACGGCAGGAAGCTGGGATGGGGCGGGCGGAGGGGTGGGACGGCCCGACCTTGCAGCCTCCACAAAGCGGTGCGTCTCCTTCCAGTGGGGCAGCAGCTGGGCCGACTCCTCATCCCAGAGGCGCACGTTGTGGTAGGTGAAGCGCTCGGGGTAGAAGTTGTCAATCTCGCGGGCCATGTTCAAGATGTGGCTCACCCTGCAGCACGGGGCACAAGGCCAGGCTGACGTGGCCACGGGCACCAGGCCCGTTGGCCAGCGGAGCCAGCGGACCTGGGTGTTAGTTTTCTGGTTCTGAGGGTCCGGTGGGGGCAGCACAGTTGCAGTGGGAGGAGGAGATGACAGTGACCTTGAGCAAATCAGTTCACCCCAATGGGCTTGAGTACTGTCCCCCCTGGCCCGTCCCCACCCCGCTTCCAGGTAGCTGCTGGGCGGCCTGCAACACACGCCCTTCTGTTATCGTCAGAAGTCAGTTAGAGATGGGCTTCGGAGTTCAGCTGAGATGGGGTGGATCTGCAGCAGCTGGATGACAAGGGTCACAGCAGGTTTCCCGAAAGCCCATGGTGGACAAGTGACAGGAGCCGTTGGGAGCGGGCAGCCAGGTCTCCTATGGGAGAGGGGCTCTCCCTTCTCCCAGAGACGTGGTCAGGCGAAGAGGGGCTTTTCCGCTTTACAGCTGGGGGAGGTTAAGAGGGGGCCAGGGAGCTGCCAGCAGACCAGCAGGGTAGCTTATTCCCCTGTCCCCGCCTGAGCCCATATGAGGGGAACGGCCCCAGGGGCGGAGCTGGAAGCAGAGCTAGCTGCTGCTGAGAGGGTTCTGGGGGTTTCTGGCCAGGCTTCCCCACGGGGGAGGACAGAGGGCGGGCAGTCCTGGGAGGGCTCGAAACCCTACCTGTTTCTCTGCAGCTCCTCCAGGTTCGCTGCGTTCCACTCTGAGCCCTGTGAACACGGAGAGAGCGTCATTGGCCCTCTCCCCCAGCTGCAGCAGGCCCCATCTCCCAGCCCTCAGCCTGCAGCTCACCAGGTAGAGGTGGGGGAAGATGCGGGACGCCCGGTCTTGCTGGGCCATGAGGAGCAGCATCTGGTTGTCGATGAAGTCGCGGTATTGTTGGAGAGGGCATCCCAGGCGCAGCTCCAGGGCCTGGCGGATCTGCAGGCAGGAGGGTGAGGAGAGGCTGGGGGCACCTTGCGAGGCTCCCGATGCCCCATCCTTCCCTGGGGGAGGGAAGGGCCTCTGAGGACAATACTCTGTCCCATCAAGGCAGAGAAGCTGAGGCCAGGCACGTGGGAACAGCTTAGACAGCAGGAAAGCTAAAGTGGGAGGCTCCAAGGAGAGGACCACTCTGGGGCCCAGCCGGAGGCCCCCACAACCAGGGCCCCGCTCCCCCCCTGGTCCCCGGCACCCTGCCCACCTCTTTGGAAGTGATGCTCTCCAGGTCACTGGAGTCCAACACCTCCCACAGCTCAGCCCGGATCGCCTGCTCCATCTGCTCCTGTCCCAAGGGCCTGGGAACCGAGCCCGTCAGTCCAGGGGCCCCTTCCCCGCTCTGCCATGGCACAGCCCCCTCTCCTCCCCTCCCTGTACTGACCGGCCGGGCTCGATGCTGGGAGGCCGCAGAGACTCCAGGTCAGCCATGGCCATCCACTCGTTGAGGCAGCTCTGGTCAGAGCTCAGTCTGTCCTGGTAGTGGCTGGCCCAGGCGAGGGCACTGCCCCCTGGCACAAGACCACTGCCTAGAGCCGCCTCACATGCCTGGTGCAACACCTGGAGCGTGGCCCTGGGACAGAGGAGAGGCTGGGTCATGCTGTCCTCCCTGCTGCCCCTACCCAGACCCTGAGCCATCTTCAAGACCCAGCCCCTTACCACATGGTCTGGATGCAGACTGGCTTGAAGATTCGACTCTGCCCACCAGATGTCACACTGAAGCCCCTGTGGGAGGTCAGGTGGGGGTGGAACCCAGCTCCTGGCTCTGGGACAGGGCCCCCTGAGAGGCCTACCCACTAGCCACGTAAGGCTGGTCCTCAAGATATATACACATCATCTAAACTTCAAAATAAGCCCTGTTGCCAGATATGGGGCAGCTGAGGCCCAGAGCAGTTAGGTGACTTGCCCAGGATCACACAGTGAATCTCAAGTGGAGCTGAGAGTAGGCCCAGCCTAGAGTTCTGCAGTTGCTCCCCAGTACCCACCACACCCCTGCACACACACCCCCATACATCACACTTAGTTATTCCACCCTCTGGCCCCTCTCCTTTCCCTTCCCTCCAGTTGCCACCTCTTACCCGTCTCCATCTAGGTACACCTGGGTGTCACTCCAGAGAGGCAAGACCAGGCCTAGGGTGCAGCTGGGGGAGCTGGCAGGGACAGAGGGAAAGCTGTTGTCACCCAGCACCTCACTTCCTTGCCCTCCTCCCTTCCTCTCCCTGCTCCCACCTGCTATCAGGGAAATCCACGCCCAGAAGGACTGTCTCATCCTGGCTCAGACGTTCTCTTGTGGAAACTACCAGCAGGTAGCGGAGCCTGGCGGGCCGGGCCGCCTCCAGCTGGGCTGCCTGGGGAAGATGGGAAGGGAAAAGCCCGGGGTCACAGTGGCCCAGAGGACCCTGCTCCCCCCACCCCTACCTGACACACAGCCGGGTCTAGAACAGACCTGCCACCTGCTCCCTCTGCACCCATCCCTCTCTTCCCAGATACCGGATCAGTGGTTACAATCTAGTGGTTCCCAACTTTGGGATCTCATGGTCCAATAAAATGTTTAGAAAGATTCTTCTCAGAGAGGGTGTGTGTGAACAAAAGGGGAGAATAGGCATGACAGATTGCCCTTTTTTTTTTTCTGCCTAGGAAGGAGGTTTAAGAAACACCTTTCCACTTGCCATTACCATAATTTGATTTAAGGAATGTTTTTCACCAAAAAACTATTAAGAACACAGTTTCACAATAAAGGATGGTGCTTCTGTGGAATTAATTCTGCCTTACAAAAAACTGACTGCATCTTGTTTTTCCCATTGCTGCAGTGAGGTTGTTCCACAGGCATCTGGGAACTGGTCCTCACTTTCCCGCCTGTGTCCCATTCCCGTACGGGCCCCTCCAGCACATGAGCCCACGGTGGGTGCTCAGCAGGTCCCCCTGAGCACCAGTTCATTTGTGGGCAACTCACACAGTCAGGAAGGTCTTGTGCTGGTTGAACAGAAACCCGCCTCTGGGTAATTCCCAGCTCTTGGACCTAATCTGACCCTACAGGCTCACATCGGACAAACCTCCCCATCCTTTCCCAGCTCTCCAGAGACCCGAAGACATGGCCGGATCGCCCTGTTAAGACAACTCTAGCCGAAACAGCAGAGTCATCGGGGTTTGGGTAACCACTACGCTCCCCAGGGGGCCCCCTGCTCTCACACCACTGCTCCCCAAACACACACACACTGGCCCCATTCCACCCTCTCCTCCCACCTGGGGAGTGGCTCTCTCCCCTTTCAGAGGGCCAGAGGGCTCTGGACGGGGCCCTCACCAGGCGGATGTCGTCTTGTGGCCTTAGCAGCCCCACCATGAGGCGCAGGTGCTGACTCTGTTCCTGCTTCCTGAGACTCTGGGGCCCATGCCCGTCGTCTGTCTGGTCCCCGTGGGGCTGCTCCTCCCCGGGGGGGTCCTCCACTGGCTCAGAGATGGCCTTGGCCGCATCTCCATCATCGCCTCCATCCTGCAGTCCCAGGACAGCCCCGCCGAGTACTGCAAAGCTCTGCCTGGTAGGGGAGCAGGGAAACCATGATGGCCCATCGTAGCTCTTAGGACAGGGGTGTGTCAGAATCACCTGGAGGGCTTGTTAAAACGTGCTGGACCCCATCCCCAGAGACTCAGTGGACCTGGAGTGGAGGCCTGAGAGTGTGCATTTCTAACCAGTTCCCAGGTAATGCTGCCCCAACACTTTGGGAAGCACTGCCTTGGAGGCTCTCAAGCCTCCAGCCCACCTATTCTTGCCTGAGGAGGGGTGGAGGTTGCTTCCTTTTCCTTCCCACCTGCCTAACTCAGTAGATACTGTGAACCTGGTGGGGACTCAGGAGTCCTCAGGCCCTGCCGTCCCATGCTGCCCACTGGCTCGTGACCACTGGCCACAGCCAGGTCCAGGACAGTGGGTGAAGGAGCTCCAACTGACCAGGGGGAAGATGAAAGCAAAGGCAGCCCGCTGTGCCCACCAGCTGTGCCTACTGGCAACACTGCCCCACATAGTACGTAGCGGGCTTTGGCTGCAAGTCCTCCAGGATGGCTGTGGCCAAGGCTGGCGGCTGGACGGAGGTGCGTGTGTTGGGAAGAGGTGCTCACCTTCGCTGGAGCCGGCTTCTGCGCTGGGACACCTGGTCCTGCTGAGAAAGCAGCCCCCAGGGCAGAGTGAAGAGGCAGGGAGGTATTCTCCTCTCCCCTGTCTCAGGGCTGCTGTGGTGGATGGTGGAGGGATCGCGCCCCCTCCGCGCACACCGCCCACCCCCGCAGTGGGGAATGGAACCAGAAAGGGGGTCAGGTCCCCTTGGCGCTGCAGTCCACTCTCCACGTGGAGGCACTGGGGGAGCCCCGGCCCAGGTTCAGGTCCAGCGCCCGGAGGTAAGGGGGCGGGGGGGGGGAGGGGTGCGGGCGGTCGCGGCTGGAGCGCCTGAGGCTTTGGCCCCTGTCTGGGCCCAGAGCGGGGTAGGGCCTCCGCAGGCGGTCACGGCTCCGGATCTCGCCTTGGTCCGAGTTCCTGATTGCCTCAAGATTCCCCCCCAACCCCTCCCCCCACAGCCTGAGACTTGAAGTCCCCCTCCGCACACCCCCAGGCTTCAGGGGAGGCTGCCCGTGGACAGCAAACACTCCCCCAGGCCCAACTGGCAGCCAGCTGCGTGGGCAGGACCACAGCAGAGCCAGACTCACCGTGGGCCCCACAGGCGTGGAGTGGCCGCCGGCCGGAGGCGAGCGGCTTACTGTGACCAGGGCCATGGGACCAGACCGGGAGCACCTGGGCCGGCAGGGGCACAGCACCCTCCCGCAGCCCCACGGACAGTCCCTGCCCCGCAGGACCAGGAAGGAGAGTCCGGAGCCACCAGGGCCTGGCACCTCCTCGAGGGCGGACCTTAAAGGGCCAGACACCCGTCCAGCCCGACCTGAGGAGCCCGCAAGCAGTGGCCACCGCCCCTCCCTTCGTGTCTCCACAGGTTCGGTCCGCCTCGTCCCCGCCCCCCGAAACACGTTGGGGGCGGGGCGCAGGTGCGGAGCCCGGCAACGGCGGCGGGAAGGGGCAGCCTACGTTGGGTTCAGGGTTCGGTCCCTCCTCACAGGAGGCGCCCCTGCCCCTGTCCTCCCTGCTCCGCCCAGTTAGGTCACCTGAGCTGTGCTCTGGGCCTCAACCGTTCTGCTAGCAGCAGAGATGGGACCTAGGGAGGAAGGACTGAAGACCCGGGTCTTGGAGAGGACCAGAACCCGTGGGTCTTAAGTGGGGAGCACCCCGAACTTCTTTCTCCTTGCCGGTTGGCCCTGGCGCTTCCACTCAGCATGAATCACTGAGAGACACTCGAAGCTTCAGGGTCTATCAGGGTGGGTTTAGAACTAACCCCTGAGGCTCACAGCAGGTCCTCAGGGCCACCTCGGAGGTGAGCAGGGCAGGGCTGAGCAGGTTCACAGCAGCGGCAGAGGGAAGTGACTTGTCTAATGTCACTGCAGTAGAACCTGCCGGAGTCAGGTCAGGAACCCAGGCCTGGGGCACAGGGCCTCCTCTGACCCGACAGAGTCCGGAGAACCAGACTCTCCCCGTCCCTGACACAAGCAGGGGTGGGTTCCCGGAAAGCCTGACTGTGTGGCCGGAAGAACCGGGGTCTCCAGTAGGTGGGATAGGGCTCGGGGGAACTGATGTTCACGGAGCACCTACTAGGGCACCTGACACCTGTCGGCTCATTTTACCCTCCCAGAAGCCCTGGGGGTGGGAGGCAGTCTCATTTACAGCTGAGGACACTGAGGCTCAGAGGGGCTAAGGGGACCACGGTCAGGATTCAAACCCAAGTCTAAGGCCATTGCCCACAGTGTCTCCCCTCGGTGCCCCCCAGCACTACCCCCCCAGCCCCCCCAGTGAGCGGAGCAAGCCTGCTGCTGAGGGTCTCTTTATTTCCATCTCAGTCTCCAATGCACGCCCAGCCGCAGGGCTCCAGGCCCCAAGCCCAGCAGCAGCAGAGTGTGTATAAATAAATAAGTTACAAAAGTGGGGGGCGGTGCAGCCCCGGGCAGCCCTCCTGAGGGCGGGGCTCAGAGCTCCGTGAGCGAGCGCTGTAGGGTCCGCTGTAGGTCCTCCTCCTCCCGCCGCCCCCGCCGCTCCCACTCCGCCTGCTCCCGCGCAGACAGCTCCAGGGCCAGGCGAAGCTGCTCCTCAAAGCTCGGGGGCGCCCTGAGAGGGGCCCCCGGACCCTCAGGCTCTGTGGACATCTGCAGGCTTTCCTGGAGGGCCCTTCCAGGTGAGGCATGAGAGGGGAGAGCAGACCCGTGAGCGCTAAGGCTGGGGAGGAGGCCGAGGGCTGGGACATGGCTGCAGAGGCCGAAGATAAGGACAGGGAGGCTGGGACCCGAGGACCGGAGACAAGAGACAAGGCCGGGCCCCGTCTCCCCATCCCTCGTGCCACCCTCGCTGGTGGGCAGCACGGAAGATGGAGGGTGGCCTCAAAGAGGGTGTGGGGTCCTGGGGCCAGCACCTCCCTGCTACTTGACCCCACCAGCCAAGAACCCACCCCCCCCCCCCCCCCGGCCGGCAGGGTCCTCGAGGCAGGGCGGGGCTGAGACATGGACCTGGCAGGTCCCGGAGGGCCTCACCGCTCCAGCTGAAGCTGCTCCTCGTAAGCCGTGACCTGGGGAAGGTGGGCACCAGGCCGGGTGTTGGTCAGGGCTTCCCAGACAGTCACCTGCAGCAGCCAGAGCCCGGAGCTGTCACCTCTGCCACCCCTGCCCACGCCCGGGGCCCAGCTCCTGCCCGCACCCCACCTGCTCCGCCTCCGTGCCCGCCTCCAGCAGGCTCTGCTGGATGGCAAACTGCAGCAGGTCGTCGTCCTCGTCGCGAAGGGGCTCGCTGCGCTCTGCGCCCAGCACGCTGTACCCGTCGGGCACCTCAAACACGGCGGGGTCCACCTCACAGGGGAAGGGGCTCGCTGGGTGTGGCAGAGGGGTCGTGCTCAGCCCCTGGTGCGCAGAGACCAGCGAACCTCACAGCCCCGCGCCCGCCCACGGCGGTACCTGAAGCTGCGATGGCAGAGCCGGGCGCTGGCACCCACACCGAGCTCAGGGGTTCGTCACAGCCACACAGGTTGCCGAAGGTGATGCGGGCATTGAGCACGTGGAAAAGGGGGATCTCTGTGAGGAGATGTCGAGCCTGAGCCAGCCCTGCAGCCCGTGCCCACCCCACTCCGGGGGCCCTCCTGCTGCCCGGCCCACCCTCTCACCAATCTTGACCGGGAAGCCGGGCGGGAGGCGCAGGGCGATGAAGTCGCGCAGCTTGGCAAAGTGAGCGTTGCTGATGGCCATCAGGTCGATGATGGGCATCACCTGGTCACCCAGGGAGAGCGGGTGCTCCTCGCTCAGCCACAGTGTTGCCTTGAACCTGCCCAGCCAACCGCAGGACGTGGGTCAAGGAACCTCTGGTGGCCCCTCTGCTAAGGCGCACCTACTCTGGACATCTGCCTCTACTGCTCTCCACCTGGCCTGGGGGACCCTCTTCTCTGCTCAGCCGCTCCTGCCTGCCTCCCCCAGGAGCTCATGTCCTTCTGGCCCTACAGCCTGAGCTGCCCCCCGGCCCTGGGCTCAGGCTGGGCCCCGGGCGCTCTGTGCCAGCTCAGCTCTCCTGGACGAGGAGGGCAGGGCTGAGCTCCTGGCTTCAGTCCCACCTCGTCCACAGCCCTGCCCTCCTCCTCGGCCCACAGCCAGCCAGCACGTCGCACTTCACCGTACTCTGGGGTCCCGCACAGCCCGACAGTTCGGGACCGCACTGCTGGGGTTGCATCCCAGCCCCGCTGCTGCGTGGCTGAGGGAGTCCACGTGAGGTTCCTGGCACAGTGCTGGGCCCACCAGACGCGCTAGAAGTCATGGCTCATCAGAGCCTCACAGCGCCCTTGTGAGCAGGTGGCCAAAGGCAACTGTTCTCGTTTTACTGAGGGGGAGGATAGACTCTCAGAGGGGGAGGTGATTCCTTGGGCCACGAAGCCAGGAGGTGTTAGAGCCGCGTGCCCTTCCTGTCTGCCACAAGCTGGCCCCCAGCAGGTGCTCGTTAAGTTGAACAGAAAACCATGCATGGGTGGTGCTGCCCATTCATTCGTTCACCAAGAAGAGCGACCAGTCCTCTGAGCCAAGCCCCAAGCTGGGTGCCAAGGACCATGGCTAAAGCAGACCTGGCCCCGGCCCCCAGGGAGTGAAGTCGAGAAGGCAGCCAGCTGGGTGAGTGAGTCCCCCACTCCAGGGGGCCCTGTGTGTGACAGGGTCTGCAAGGGCTCGGGGGCACCAGGCAGGGTCCCCTGTCCCAGAGGGAAGCCCCCCACCAGCCCCCAGACCTCACCTCTGTACTTTGCTGGACATCTCAATGGGGCGGCCGATGTTCCTCGACTCCAGGCTGAAGTTGGGGTCAAAGTACTCGTCGGGGGAAATGGCGGTGGGGTTTGTGGGGCTGGCTGCCTGCTGCACAGGAGCCTGGGTGGCCCCGGGACCAGGCTTAGCGCTGGGGAGGCGCCGGCCTGGCCCCGCCCAGTGGGCCCTGCCAGTCGGCCCCCAGCCCCCGCCCCCCAGTCCCGGCTCACCCCATTGTGGGAGGAGTGCTGCTGGGCCATCCCAAGGAAGGACTGGAATGGAGTCTTCCCCCCTAAGGAGAAGGGGTGGAGCCCATGAGGGGACCTGGGGCCACTGCCCCCAGACTGCCCACGCCTAGCCTCCACCCTGGGAGCCTCCCCTGTGGTGGAAGGCGGAGCAGACGGGAACGGGGAAGCCTTCCAGCTGGTCCCAGATACTCTGGCCCTGACCCCAGATCAGGGTGACCACCCCGTACGGTGTGACTGGGCAGCAGGCAGGCGCACCTGGGTTTACCTTTGCTCCTCGACTTGTCCTGATCGGAGAGGTGCTCCGTGCGTGTGCGTGTCACCAGCTCCACATTGGTGGCGCTGTACACCTGGGGAGCAGGGGGGACACAGGGGGAGCTGGGGGCTCAGAGCCTGCTGCCCACACTCAGCCTCACCAGCACAGGACCCAAGTCCTCCTGTCCCCAGGGACAGATAGGATCTCACTCCCCACAGTGGAGGGGGTGGGGTCTGAACCCCGGGAAGTCACTAATGAGGGTAAAATGCTCCTGGCTTCATCTCGGTGATCCGGGTAGGGGCCCGTGCTGTGGGTAACCCCTGCGTGCTCAGCAGGGGCTGGGCACTCGGGCCCCACTGAGTTCCCATGGCCACACAGGGCATCCAGAGCCCACGGGCTGCTGGGTCTCCCTCCACACAGGGTGGATGTGGAGAAGGGGCAGATTTCCTGGGCCTCGTCTCCTACCCCAGCTCCCACCACTAGCCTCTCCTGCCTTGGCCTCGTAGCCGCTAACGGTTTCCATCTTCTCAGACCGCCAGCCCCAGATACCACATTTGTTCCTGAAACAGACCAAACAGGAGCTCATGAGGACCCACACCCCCCAACTCTGGCCAAAGTCGTCCCTTCCAAAGACCCCCTCCAATTTGCCTTCCTGCTGTGAAACACACAGGGGCCTTGAGGAGGCTGCCTGGACAGCTGGGGACAAATGAACAGAAGACTGAGGACTAGAAAGTACTGGGGAATCATTAATTTCTGCTAGGTGTGATAATAGCATTGGGGCTTGGTTTAAAAACATCCTTATCTGTTAGAGTCACATGCAGAAGCATTTACTGTTGAAATGATACGACATCTGGGACGTGCTTTAAAATAGTTGGGGGAAAAAGAAAACAGGAAAAAAGTGAGGAAGGGTAGATTCAACAAGATGGGCAAAATGTTGGGAACTCCCTGGCAGTCGAGTGGTTAGAACTCGGCGGTTTCACTGCTGAGGGCCTGGGTTCGATCCCTGGTTGGGGAACTAAGATCCCACAAGCCGTGCGGCGTGGCCAAAAAAAATTTTTAAAAAAAGATTGGCAAAATGTTGATAAATGCTGAAGTTGGGTGATGAGAACATCATACTAGTCCCTGTTCTTTCATATGTGCTTGAAATTTTCCATAATAAAAATTTAAAAATAAAGGTATGTCTGATTCAACGATAATAGTTGGAGACTTCAGTACCCCACTTTCAATAATGGATAGAACAAGCAGACAGAAGATCAACAAGGAAACAGAAGACTTGAACACGCTACGAACTAGACTTGATAGACATCCTTAGATCACTCCACCCAACAACAACAGAATACATATTCTGCTCAAGGGCATGTGAAACATTCTTCAGGATAGACCGTAGGCTCGGCCATAAAAGAGACCTCAATACAACTGAAAGGACAGAAATCATACACAGAATGTTCTCCAATCACAACTGAATGAGGGCTTCCCTGGTGGCGCAGTGGTTGGGAATCTGCCTGCCACTGCAGGGGACACGGGTTCAAGCCCTGGTCCAGGAAGATCCCACGTGCCGCAGAGCCATCTGGACCCGCGAGCCACAACTACTGAGCCCACGTGCCACAACTACCGAGGCCTGCGCGCCTGGAGCCTGTGCTCAGCAACAAGAGAAACCACCGCAATGAGAAGCCCGCTTACTGCAGTGAGGAGCGGCCCCTGCTCACCGCAACTAGAGAGGGCCCGAGCGCAGCAGCAAAGAGGCAACGTGGCTAAAAATACATAAAATAAATAAATAACAACAACAACAAGAAAGCAACCTTAATTAAAAATAAAAAACTGGACTTCCCTGGTGGCGCAGTGGTTGAGAGTCCACCTGCCGATGCAGGGGACACGGGTTCGTGCCCCGGTCCGGGAGGATCCCACATGCCACGGAGCGGCTGGGCCCGTGAGC